TCCGGTAGAAGTTTGAGAACCCAATGAAACGTTGGACACTTTTCCTGTCCGTGGGTTCAGGCCAATCTAGGATCGCAGAGAACCTTTCTGAGGGTCCATTGCGACCCCCCCGTGGTGGAGATAATACAGACCCAGAAATGTAACGCTAGCCTTTCAAAGAAAGCATTTTTTTTTTTTTAACATTTTCTCTGCTTTAGCGTACAACCCCGTGCTGCCGCAACCGCCCCAAACACCTTTCTTACATGTACCCCTGTGCTCCCCCCAGGGAGGATGAGAAAATCAAAATGTCGTCTAAGTAGACGATGACAAAGAATTCCAGGAAGTCCCAAAAGATGTCGTTTACAAAGTGCTGGAAGGTGGCTGGCGCATTGCACAACCCGAAAGGCATGACCAGGTATTCAAATGGCCGAAACGGGTGCGGAAGGCCGTCTTCCACTCATCCCCCTCCCTTATGCGAACCAAAATTGTAGGCTCCCCTTAAGTCCAGTTTGGTAAATACAACTGCAGCTTTACAGCTCTGGAATAATTTCAGGTAACCAGTGGTAATGGGTAACGATATTTAATTGTGACCCTATTCACTCCCGATAGTCTTCAATACATGGCCTCAAAGTCTTGTCCTTCTTTTCTACAAAGAAGATCCCTGCACCTGCTGGGGAAGTGGAGGGACGGATGAATCCCTTTTCGGAGGCTGTCCTCAATATAGTCCTTCAGGGCCCCTAAATCTAGCTCAGAAAGTGGGAAAAATTCGCCCGAACAGAATTTCAGAACCGGGTAACAGATCAATAGGACAGTCATATGGGCGGGGGGGTAGAGCATCTGCTCCCCGTTCACTGAACACATCCCAGAAACTTATGATAGGAGCTGCAGGAATCACTTGTTTTTAAGACTGTCATCCCCTTCAGAGCACAGGAGGACCTGGGGGACCTCCGGGCCCGAAGTTTCGACACAGTTCCCGACAGTATGGGAAGGAACGAGACCAACCCCAGTTTCCCCAATTCATTGGGGGTTATGGCCCGCAACCAAGGGAGCCCCAGAATGACTGGGAAAAGGGGTGATGCAATAGCATCCAGGCGGAGGAGTTCCCGGTGCTGACCGGCAATGGAAAGGTCACAATGGAAGGGGTCTCCTGGTTAACTACCCCTGACTTTATCCGGGAACCATCAGCCAAAAAGATGTGAAACCCCTTCTCCTTTGGGGCGGAGGGGGATACCCTGCTGGTGAGGCAAAATTGATATCCAAAAAACAGCTGCATGCCCCCGAATCAACTATGCCGTCACCCACTCCACGGTCCTTTCTGAAAGCTGAAGGAGGGAAGGGGAACAACTAAGTACTGGACGGATTCATATTGCCAACAGATAAAGAAGATGAAGTGAACTTACTCAGATTTTCTGCGGGCAGGAACGCACCATGTGACCACCCAGCTTCGCCGCAGTACAGACACAGATTCTGGAGCGTCTGCGCTGGCGTTCATTCTCAGGCGATAGTTTAAGCAGGCGTGCCAGGCCTAGCTGCATGGGTTCGGGGAGCATCTACAGACGGCAGGTTTCTCTGATGTTTGGCCTAGTATGTTTGACCGACAAAAATCCTTGGAATGACCCCCAGGATGCAATTCTCCGCGACCCTGACCAGACCTCTCCACATCTGCGCTCCGCTCCCGTAGCCTACAGTCAATTTTAATGTGAGTGCAATCAAGTCCTCCTCTAATGTCCTCGGGCACCTCCACCCGGGCGAGCTCGTCTTTCAGAGCCTCAGAAAGAGCCCATACGGAACTGGTGCAAAAGTGCGAACTGTCGTTCCAACGAGTGTCACCCATCCAGCGCCTAAAGTCAGAGGCGTATTCCTCATGCCGCACCGCCGACGACCTTGTCGGAGTGCGTATAATGTGGCCTCGGCCGAGGCCGCCCGTATTGTGGTCATCGTATAAGATGGCCATAGCGTTAAAGAAGCTATGCGAACCGTAACCAGGTGAGGATCATTGTTTCCCCTTAGTCGGTGGGCCCAGTCTTGGGGTTCACCCTGCAACAGGGAGACAACAAACCCCACTTTCACCGATTCTGTCAAAAAGGTCCGTGGCTGCAGTTCAAAATAGAGCAACCACAGGAGTCACGGAATGACCGAAAGCGTGTGCGATCCCCGTGGAAGCGCTACGGGTAAGGGTACTCGGGGTTCCGCCATAGGGAGTGATGTGGAAGGCCCAGGAGCCGGCTCGTGGCTGCTGCGACCGGCGGTGCAGGAGCCGGGGCCTGTGAGAAACAGGAACAGATATGGTGCAGGCCTGAAACCGATTCTCGATCTGCAGACATCTGTCCTGTAATGTGGTTTTCACTGCTTGCGTCAGGGTAGCCAGGTGCCTGCAAACCTCGTCCAACGGGAGAGTCCTCCTCGAGGCTCAGTCATGGCCTTCTGGTACTGTGAGGGACCGCCGTAGCGGGCACCACTAGCACTCCACTGGTCAGGTGCGTGCCCAGAGCGCGGAGTCTAAGCCCCAGGGTACTTGTTCACCAGGGCCCCTGATGGTGGGGATGGACTTGTAGTACCCCGAGACCAGGTCGCCTCTACTGAGCACACACCTTCAGTGTAGGGGTGTTCGCCAGGGGCTCCAACCAGGGAGAGCCAGTATGTGAGGAGGTCGGGTGACCCCGATGGATGGATGGATGGCTGAGCAAGCGCGTAGTCAGACAGGCCGAGTCGGTAACGTAGAGAACGGTAGGGTACAAGGGAGCAGGCAGAGAATCGTCGGGTCACACTCACACGCCACGTCAGCAACAGGAGGTCAGATCTAATGAGGGGCATCCAGGAGAGAGAGGTCAGGCAAGCAAGGGTCTGGGAAGGGAAAGGGCAGGAGAAATCAGCAGGTCAAGAAACAATCCAGGTCAATAAACTTACTAGGCACAGGTACAGAATCACAGGAAGCAGGTAAGACCAGAAGGCAACGAAATGACAGCTCAGGGACCTTTTAAATATCCCGCCCTGCGCTGCCATTGGGGTGCCCAGCGGGCGGCCCGCGATGCTTCTACTGGTTTACTGCGCATCCTGCGCTGTGAACTCGAAACGCCGCGGCCGGCCCTGGACCTAGTGCCCGTGTACAGGCGGAGCAGTGCGCCTGCGCCGGGACCATCGCGGCAGGGATCGAGGAGAATCCCTGACAGGGGGAGAGGGGAACAAGCGATGAAAAAAAAAAAACAACAGGAAGTGTCATTTATCTAGTACAACACAGCTGCTGTTTAACATAGACATGAATAGTAATAATAACAATACAAATTCAAGAGAACTGTTTCAGCGAATAACTTCCAGCTATTAGCAAGATAAGTAAATCCCCTGTATTACAAGTGGAGGCAGATAAAAATGAAATTCAAATGATAAAATACTTGAAGTAGGGAGAAGAGAGAGAATGAGAGAGAGAAGACAAAAAGGGGTGGGGTGGGGGGTGGGGTGGGGGGTTTAAGGGATAAGGAGGACAATGCTGGTCACAAGGACTCCTAAGTGGAAGGATGAGGGGAAGAAATACCAACAGACAATAAATCTCCAAAACAAGGGGGACTGCAAATTAGAGGAGTCAATTGTGGAGCTTATTCGAAGAACAGTAGTGTAACCATATACACCATAATGTATTATGTTTAAGATTTTCAAATTTAAAATGGTTCATAGATTTTGGGAGAGTGCATCAGAATGTGGATGTCCTTTCCTAGATTTATTGCTATTTTGTCCAAGATGTCAATGGAACTAGCCTAACATACATACTACCAGCACATTATGGATCTCAAATAACCTCAAAATGTTTTTTATTCAAGATGATCACATCACAGCGGAAAAGAGCACTGTTTTTGGGCCATGTAGGACCCTTTGACGGGCATGAGATCTATCATGGAACAGGAAGGGTGGGGGTTATGTGAATAGTTTCCTAGGGAGCTGGAGACAAAATGGGTCTGAGAGGCCAGATTTCTTTCTCTGCAGCCCTGCCTATTAAATAGGTGAGCTTAGAGAGATGGTGGTGTGTGAAAAGGAGAGCACTGTAGCCTAGACCCTGGTATGTGAAGAGGAGAAAACTGTAGCCAGGACCCTAGTGAAAAGCTAAAGGACTTGCATGCCTTGGACTCTACTTTGAACCGTGATGAATCTAAGCACACACGATATATTTCTGTGTTAAAAGGCTATTATATGTGCTAAAAAGAAGCTGCTGTATGTTCTGTTTGCATTGATACTGAAGGAAAAGCCTGTTTTGTGTTTGCTGAAAAATAAATCAGATTGTAAGTTCATAGAACTGTGTTGCTGAGGTTTGTTTTTCCCTAATCCCAACACAATATATTTAGCATTTAGGATATAAATATAACATGATGATAACAACGTAATATAACTATCTGTGAAAAATGCTGTCATTAAAGAAGTTATAAACTTACAAAACACACCAACACTATTAGTATATTGTGGAGATAAAACCATGTCCTTAAAAATTACATTTAACTTACATAAGAAAAAATAGGATGCTATTGCTGAGATTTGCTTTTTGAAATGCTCATGGCCTGGCAGTTACGCTGATGCAGAAGCTTCACTACTTTCAGTCACTGACCTGGAACAAGTATGTAGATGAAGAGTTCTGGTTTCACTTTGGCTTCATTTGTTGCATGCTTGTTCTAGGTTAGTGATTCAGCAATTATTGAGACTGAGTCAGCCAACAATGAATTTCTGTATTTTTCTCAGAACAGATTTAACTTAAATGATCCAGACAAATGATGTTGAGAGTAAATAATTGTATACAGTCAATACGTACCTACAACGTAATTAAGAACATTCCAGCCTCCAAATGCAAACATTCCCTGGTAAAAGGCTTCTCCCGATCTGTGATATGTTAGGTATATCCCCTTCGAAATGCCCTGTGAAAGTTTTGTGTCTTGCCCATTCCCAGCTGGACAATTCCACATAAGGCAATGGCACTGAGAGAAGCCATCTTCAGCACTGTGAAAACATTCTGAGCTACAATAATCCATTTTGTGCTCATACAGTTAATGATCCCTACAATTAAAATCACTGAGATAGCTATGAGTTTTTTTATGGCTTCTGGTGAAGAGCATGCTGGGAAAAATGGCTGCGTAGTGTATTCCGCAAACATCAATGCTTGAACGGTTTATGACTGCTGGCCTGAGAAAAATAACAGAGCACCATAAGAAAATGTATGCAGGGATGGAGCCCAGAGCTCTTTTAATATAATAATATTCCCCACCAGATGATGGAAAAGTAGTTCCCAATTCAGCATAACACAGTGCTCCAATCATTGATATTATCCCACATACTGTCCATATCACCAATGAAACCCCAACATTTAGCTGTGAGAGGAGCAAGACGGCCCCTGGTGAGACGAAGATTCCAGTGCCCAAGATGACCGCAAAGATGAAATTAACAGCGCTGAAGAATCCAATAGTTCTTTTCAGGACAACCTTCTGCTCCACGGTGTTTAGCTGTTCATCCATTGTCCCTTACATTCTTCTGTCACTCTCATTATAACTGCGTCTGTTGTGTTTATACTGGCACGGAACATCTAATTTTGCAATGCAAGTGTCTTTTTAAACAATAACATTTACCCTGTACTTTGCTCATTGCATACTGCGATTAGGTATAAATACTTTATCAATGTAACATTCTAGCCGTGTATCATTTACTGTATTACCTCTGTTTACACTTTTTAATTCAGAAGCATTTACAACTGCTGGACATATTTATTAATATAGTGCAAAGAAAGAATATCCTGTAAAGCGCAGTAATTCAGAGCAAGTATCCAGATTTCAGCTTTCATTGGTTTGGGCAATCAGACTAGTAAACGTTTGCTGATTGGCTACTCAGTGCGCCTAATCGTTTTAGTCTGGTCTGTATGTGTATTTCTCATTATTTATATTTCATGTTCTTAATTCTTGTACAGGTGTTTTGGAATGGTGAAGGGCAGGGCCGGATCTAGCTTATCTGATCAGGGGAGGTGCAGTAAAAAAAAGTCAGGGTGCACAATGTCAACACTGTGTGTGAGCCACTGATAGTCTGTCACACAGTGTCACAACCTAGGAAACGCTATTAAACAGAACCTGTGCCCTCTTATATTAGATGTCCCTATCAGAGTGCCCTCTTACACCAGGTTCCTATCAGAGTGCCCCTTTACTTCAGGTGTTCCCATCAGAGTGGCCCCTATCAGGGCCCCCAACAGACTGCCTTCTTACATCAGGGTCCATAATAGAGCCCCACTTACATCAGGTGTGTCCTCATCAGAGTACCCTCTTGCATATGATCAATTATCCCCATCAGAGTGCCCCCTTACATCAGGTGTTCCCATCAGAGTGCCCCCTTACATCAAGTGTCACCATCAGAGTGCAGCCTTACATTAAGTGTCCCCATCAGAGTGCCCCCTTACATCAAGTGTCCCCAACAGACTGCTCCCTTACATCAAGAGTCTCCATCTCCACATGAAGCGATCCCATCAGAGTGCCCCCTTATATCAGGTGTCCCCATCAGTGTACCCTCTTACATGATGTTCCATTAGAGTGCTTCCTTACATCAGGGTCCCTATTAGAGTACACTTTACATCAGGGATCCAAATCAGAGTGCCCCCTTTTATGGATTGTCCTTATTAGAGTGCCCCTTACATCACCTCTCTGCATCAGTTTGGCTCATTGATCAGTGGATGCACTATCAGAGACTGGGGTGGACTAAAATCTAAGAGAGGGCACAGCCCACCCTAGCACCTCTCTAGATCCGGACCTGGTGTAATGTAATCCTTTCTGATTAGTACTGTAGAAGAGAAGCAATAAGAAAAAATCAAGAGCAATGCTTTTGTTCAAGTGCAGCTACCCATAGCAACCATTACATGTAAATTGATATTTTATTGTTTTTTTTTCGAGTTACTAACCTCTACACATCAATGTTATCACACAAACAGTTATAAGCCTGAAAGTGCATTGAACTAATTCCAATTTAGGTATGGAAGTGTTAATCTGGTAGAGCAAAGGCTGCAGAATGGATCCCAAAGAGGTCTGGCCCAAAATGCAATAGTCATTTTTAAAAAAAAAAAAAAAGAAGTATTTTATATATGTAATACTACCCCCTTAGGAGTCGCTAAGTTTTGGGTCCTCCTAAAGCTCTGCACGGCCAGGCAATAATTTTCTTCCACACTTTGCATTCGGAGTCAGTAAACAGTCCTTGAGCTTGGTTTTGTGGGTTTATTAGGGGTTTAGAACTTGATGGGGTTGAAGGGTTTATGGGATGCCCAAGGAAACTGCAAACTTGAAGACTAACTCCTTAGCAACTATGTAGAGATATGAACAAAATAGTCTCTCCTTTAAGAACAATCCAGCTCTCTGGTGCACAGGGGCGGACTGACAACTCATGGGGCCCCCGGGCAATAGGGGATCATGGGGCCCCTGTGTCCTTGCTCAAACTCAAAAAAGCCTATGGAAAAGGTACCAGGGGCATCTCATGGGGCCCCCTACTGACCCCGGGCCCTCGGGCAGTGCCTGAGTTTCCAAATGGTCAGTCCGCCCCTGCTGGTGCACCTCCTCAGACCCCAGATGAATCCTCCTCTTCACCCAGCTGTCTGAGAGTATTCCCTGGGCAGAAGCTGCCAATTCAGCACAGCATGCCCAGATGAGAAGTCTTCTTGGGTTTTGCACCTGACTGCCCTCTTCCGTTATCCAGCCCAGGGTGTGTAAGAATACTCACACTGTCCTCTCTTGACAGCTTAATGGGTTGGTGGCTGCCTTCAGGCCTTTCTCTGAGCTGGCTCCTTCCCTGCTGCTCAAGATGTCCTCCTTTGGAGATGGTGGCTCAATGGAGATCCTCTTCTCCAGCACCTGCCTGTAGGTAGGCCCTTTCCCTGGGCCCACTCCCAGGCTCCACACTCCAGCCTCTCGCTTCATTTTCCACCCAACACTGCTCCAGTTGCCCAGGCTCTGCATTACTTAAGGATTGCCTTGGTCACCATGCCCAGCTTCCTGCTAGGGGATTGGCCAGAGTCCCTCAGGTATGCAGATCCAAGCTTACTCTCCTCCTTCATCCCTCTGCCAGAAAGCTCTCAGGTTTCTGGGGAGGTGGGAGGACTCCAGAGTCTCTGATCTTCAGAAACTCCCTAGCCTGTCCTGAGGTAACCTCTCCATCTCACTCCCAGGCTGCTACTCAGCCACTGCCTAAAAAGAAAGGAAAAGAACAAACTCTCTCCGGCTAAGCTGGAGGGCGTTACATATTAAAAAAAAAACAGCTACGTGTGATACAGAGTGCTGTGCTATGAGGTCTGCTTAAAAAACAATAATATGGCTGTACCACAGCCCTACCATTTCTTAAAACCCATCTCTGGGAATTACAAAAAACTGCCCTTGCAGTGGGGCCTCCCACTGCAAAGGTTAAAAGCTTTTTTATTTTAGATGTAGAGGAAGAAGGTGTAATACTTTCCTAATTCGTTGCTCCAGCAGGCACCCTACATCATAACTCTGCATTGTAAGTGAGGAAGGCAAGGAGCTGCCCATAACCTTGAGCGGAGGAGAGTGCCAAAGTCTGCTGAAGCAAAGAGTAAGATAAGTACTGCACCTTAACAAGTTAATAAGCATTTAAAGTTTGCAGTGCGGGGATGGGGGATTTCCACACAAGGTACAGTAGTTTTCTTGTCATTTCTGGAATCGGGCTTTAAAAAAAAAAACAGCACAGATCTGCTTTAAAATGTGCACTGTGCTCAACTGGCTTTAGGAGTCTGAAGCTGCTGAAGCACAATAAACATTAAAGCCACAAGAAAAGCCCAGTCTCATGAGCTGTTAATCACATAAGCGACTGCATTCAGTGAGTTCTTTCTGCTGAGGTAAGCTAGGTTCACATTATGGTGGGTGCGGGAATGCTTGTAAATCGCATGCATTCCCAAACCTGCAAGAACCCAAAATGCACTTAATTCTTAATGGCAAACCTATGCATCAAAAAATGTGGCATGTTTTTGAATGGTACCAAAGCACCACATGATTCCGTGGTTCAGAGACTTTTATCCTGCATTTCCAGCAGATACAGCAGCCCATTCAAATGAACTGGCTGTTGTGGCTGTGCAAATGTGAACCATACCACCCGCAATAGTGTGAACCTAACCTTAAGCAGAGAGAACTCTGCAGGATACCACAGGCTGCATACAATGGCTCACGCTTCACGAATGGAATGCAGTAGTACAGTGAGTATAGCAGATAGTGGATAGTGATATGTGACCTCCATTATAAATGAGCCTCTAAAAGTCATTTATTTAGAGTTATGTGAAGAACTGATTTAATGGGGCCCAAGCCAGATCCATCACTGCCTCTTCACACACTGCAGTTGAGTCCTGCTAGGCTATAGAAGTGATATATGAGGAATAATCATAATATAAAATCTGCAGAAAGATGCTTATTTGAAAACACAGTAAGCAGTAACTCCTAATAACCAACGAGACCTCAGTTTACAACAAAAGATTAATTCTAACTGAATATGGGTTATTTCACATACTATTATATGCTTGATAGGTGATGGGACTTTATAATCCTTAAGTGCTGGCTCACATATATGCAGATTGAATACGGTTTGAACCGCATCCAATCTGTATGACATGTGAAATAACATTGCTTTCTATGGTGCCTGGTCAGATATGTCCAAAGCACTGGTGGTGAGGATTCAGCGCGGATGCAGTGCAGATTGAAAAAGAGTACAACTTCTGAGCAATGCGGTCCAGTTCAGGTGCAGGTTACAGGCTATTGATGTCTATTGGAACTGTTTTTAAACCACACATGAACAGGATAAAATCCTGACCTGAACCTGTCCTGAACCTGATGTAAATCTGACCTGAACCACCAAACAACTACTGTGTCAATTACACTGTTCAACAAATTTTTATTTTTGCCAGTTTTGGAAACAAAAGGATCCATTTCTTAATGAATTTCACATTCTGAGTTCAAATATAACAATGAAATTTGTCAATTGGCTCTAGTTTTTCTGTAAACGGAAAGTTTTCTACTCTAGGCGTAATGACTACATAATGCACAATAATTATATAGATAGATGTCTTTCCACAAATATAAAGCAAGTGATATTGACTACATAACAAAGCCTAAATGGCATAATATATTGCATAGGATTACCAAGAAAAATTATAGCCATAAGCTAAGTTGAATCATTTTAATACTTGGGATTCTCACTAGTTTTGTCTTCAGTTTGTGTCGGTTTTGCTTCTCTTGGCTTTTCTCTTGTATTCGAGGAAAGGGCTATCTCTTACAACTGCACGTGACTACACGCTTCAGGTTCTTCCTCACTTGACTCAACCACGAAGGATTCTGGTGCTTTAGGAATTGGTAGCCCCTCTCCACGAGGAACTGGACGTATTGCGGATGGAATATTTGGATAGTGCACAGATAACTTTTTCTTCTTATTTATCCCTTTTACAATTGGAGGCACCATACAAAAGTAACAATTACTAACATGATCTGTTGGCTCT